CTCATCTTTTAACCTTTGGAAATAATATTTAGTATGACACAATCCAATTGTCACATGTTGTTGTTCTTTGGTGTAGTGTTGGTGCAGGTTTCTTAGGTTTTCTAGCTCTAAATGTGACTCAAAATATTCAAAGTCAACCAGTTCTTTGACCTTTTGAAGATGCATTTTGTGACACTGTCGACACAATTTTAGTTTTTTCTTATTTCCTCATAACAATTAAAAATCAATCTAAATAAGATCTGAATTATTAATATGAATTCAAATAACACCACAAACAGTTGATCAAAAGAGAAGTGTTGTGATGCTAAAGACGAGTCCGGCATCATATTCTATTCTCCATATTCTATTGTCCTGCAGGCTTTTGTGTGTCTTCTGTGGTCACACTGTTGAGTTTTCTCTTCAGTCGCTGCTCTGTGAGTGTGGGAAACGCCGTGAGGATCCAGGTGTTGGCTGTAGCGCCTGTAGATAATCTGAGGACTCGTACTCCAATGACCGACTGATACAAGTGAAAAGTGTTCGAACTGTAGAAGGTTTGGTTCCAGGTTTGGGCCCTGGTTCAGGAGTAGAGCCCGACCGATATATTGGTTGGCCGATATAATCGGCCGATATGGGCATCTGGAGACATATCGGCTATTGGCCGATATGTTTGCTGATATGGGCCGGCTCTTTGAAGCGAACAACGGGAGCCTGCTCCTTACTGGGAGCCATGTTGTCCCGTTCTCTCACTTTTTTTTTCTTCATGTCACGTTGTGGTAGTTTGACAGCAGCAGCGGCTGAAAACAAAACTTTCAGAAATATGCATGTGCATAGGATAGAAAAACGTGCATGCTTGGCTGTAATTCAGCATAAAATAAATAAACCAGGACTAATCTTGGGCTCGAGAGAAGGAGAGAGATAGAAACTGAGTCCTGACACTCAGTCCTGGTTCAGTTCTTGCCGCTTGGGAGCCAAAAGAGCCAGCTGCTTTTAGTGAGCCGAGCTAAAAGAGCCGGTTCTCCAAAAAGAACTGGAATACCCATCACTAGTGTCTAGAATGTGATGCAAAAATGCCATTAGACCGACCTACTGTCTGTAAATATGACATAAAGAGTCAGAATAACAATAAATGTTGCTTAAATAAATCCAATTTAAAATCCACCAGAGTCAAACCTAAGTTTTTTAAACAATTCAAGATTTACAGTGAATTTTTACATCACTGAATATATCGGCGATTATATCGGCTATCGGCAATTCCAACTCCCATTTTATCGGTTTCATATCGGCAACAACAAAATCCATATGGTCGGGCCTTATTCAGGAGAGCTGGTGTTTCTTGGGATTATAGTTCGATATGTGTTTGTATTTCTTTAGGTCTGCTTAAGTCTTGGTTTGGTCTTGTTCTAACCATGTTTTAGTCTTGGCTTGAGTCCTGGTTGTAGTGGTTTTGGTTCTACTTTCAGACGTTTAAATGACTCATTCATAATTCTTAATCTTGACAGGAGTTGTGACTCGTGCAGAGTTGATTTGTTCATGATGTCTTTAAACTGTAGATTCATACAACACATTTGAAACAATGAGCAATAATGATAATGACTTTACCAACGTATCGTTCAATTAATGACCAAAAAGAACTTGACTTTTTCAGGCTTGATAAATATCAGGTGGACCTTTTCTTTGTACCAGCGGAGATTTTCAAGCATGTGTCATGTTGTATTGCCTGTATTTTACAAAATGGTTCACTTCTCCAATGTTTTCCTAAAGTATTTAAGCAGTGCCAGTTTTATCATTTATGGGGATATTTTTCTGCTGTAATATCTCCTCCTGCAAAATGTGTTCTCATAAACTCCACCAGAACATTGTTGAGATTGAAGTGAGAGAAACAGTTAGAAATGTGTTGGAATAGAGGCTTTGCACCGTCACGTGACCCCTATAACAACAGTACCTACGCCGCCATGACACTGGGCACACTATGTCATTGACTTCAGCAGCATCGGAGAAACATGGGCAGGTTTTGTTGTGTATTTGGTTGTTCTAGAATCTAGACGTTCTGAAAGGGATAAAACGATTCGTTTCTTCACTGTTCCTCTGGAAATGACTCATCAGGATCAAACAAGGGAATTATCAGGAAAAAAACGGGAATTATGTCTAGAGAACATAAACCGCCAAGAGATTTCCAATGGTCCCATCAAGACACACTCACGTCACTTTCATCAAGATATTTGCTATTTAAATTGTTTCATAGTTTATTTAATGAGAGAAGCACATTTACTGAACTAAAATGTAAAAAGAAAACATTTGCAGTGTGAGTGGCAGTAGAAACTGGATCTTCCAGCACATATAAACATGTCACTCGTCGTAGGACCCATGTTTTCTTTATTGTCTTGTTTATCCACAACTATGTCTTCTAGAATGAATCGTTTTTTGTGAGCGGATCTTTCTAACATTTGTGAGGATCTTTTCATGGCCGATTCTTTCGAGGTTCGGCTCACAGACTCTTCGACTCGTGCTCCATGTTGATCACAGGAGCCCAGTGTGGGTTCGTTGAATCGTAAACTAGTGCTGGTTTTCCTGGATAAATTAATGAAATTTTTGTTCAGGAAATGTGCTTCTTTCATTAAATAAACTATGAAACAATTTAAACAGCGAATACCTTGATGAAACTTCGGGTGTCTTGATGGGACCATTGGAAAACTCTTCGTGGTTTATGTTCTCTAGCCATAATCCGTGTCTTTTTTTAGATAATTCTCTTGTTTGATCCTGATGAGTAATTTCCAGAGGAACAGTGAAGAAACAATTCGTTTTATCCTTTTCAGAACGTCTAGAACCAAATACACAACAAAACCTGCCCATGTTTCTCCGACCCTGCTGAAGTCAATGACATAGTGTGCCCGGTGTCATGGCGGCGTAGGTACCGTTGCTATAGGGGTCACGTGACGGTGCAAAGCCTCTATAAGTCCTTTATGCTAAGAAGTACAATATTGTTAAATCTCCAGCTCGAGTCGACTCAGGTCATGTTCATGAGATGTGAGTGTGTGACGTGTGCAGTAGTTTGTGTCACTGATGAGACGTGCTGAGTGCGCTGAACGAGCATGTGCCTGTCTGAGCCCAGAGGGAGTACACCGACTCATCACTACAACATGAGTCACTCTGAAGAAATACTACTAGTACTACCAAGAGTATATAGCTCATAAATTGTGGTTCCTCTTCCCACTGTGAGTAAGTCTACAAGAGACAAAAGGGTTTTCAAAAGTATCAAAAATCAGATACTCATCGATACTAAACTATCATCGAAACTAGACACTCAAAAGTCAAAAGAAAGAAAAGAAAGTACTATGATTTTAATGTTGAAAATGAAGTCTGAAGGAAGAGTGGGTTTAGTATCATTGTGGTATCAGAGTCTGTATCGAGTATCCAGTCAGTTTCTTGGTATCGAAATCGAGTGTGAAATTTTAAAACCGTAAATGTTACTATCGTGAACTCGTCCTTCAGATATGATATATATATATTTTTTTTGTGTGTGTGTGTGTGTGTGTTTTTTTTTGTGTCTAAACCTGTAACTAAACCAGGACTAGACCAGGACTAAACTTGAGACTAAACCTGGAACTAAACCAGGACTAGAACTGGACTAAGCCTGGGACTAAACCAGGACTAGACCAGGACTAAACCTAGAGCTAAACCAGGACTAGAACTGGACTAAACCTGGAATTAAACCAGGACTAGAACTGGACTAAACCTGGGACTAAACCAGGACTAGAACTGGACTAGAACTGGACTCAAAACAGGACCAAAGTAGAAGATGTTTAATGCAGTAGTAGTAGTAGTAGTAGTAGTAGTAGTAGTAGTAGTAGTAGTAGTAGTAGTAGTAGTAGTAGTAGTAGTAGTAGTAGTAGTAGTAGTAGTAGTAGTAGTAGTAGTAGTAGTGTGTTTTAATTGTGTTGTCTGTGTTATAAAGGGTTATTTGTCTGTCTGTCTGTAGAGTATTGTTGATTATAATTAGAGTTATTTTAACGATAACGTTCTCTAGTCCTTGTTTAGAAGTGTGTAGTAAACCTTCATGTTTTCCTTAAGTGGTTTGTTTCTAAATCTCATTTGACGTACAGACTGCAGGCGGCACACAGATACATGAGTGTATGTGCAGTGAGAGTAGCAGCAGAAGTACGTGGCCCCGCCCTCTGCTTGTGTTGTGTTTGAGTCAATAGAAAACGTCACAGCTCCATCGACCATCTGTTCCCTTTGTGAGTGAACAGCGCTCCAGGCTCCAGGAGCAGACAGGCTCCGCTCACTCACACTCCAGCCCCATAAAAGCTCCCACAACACGGGTATGGACATGTCCCCGTCTGCTGTGGGGCTTCAGGCCGGAGGGGAGCGGGGGACAGTGTGCTGAAAGACACTGACACTGCAAAACTTCAACAGAAATGGGAAGTAGTACTACAAAAATACATTTCTTGGTAATTTTAGCTTATTTTAGTTTATCTGAAAGTTCCTACGTTACACAAAACTGACGCTTGTGAGCTTTAAGTCATGATATAATGAAACAGACAGGGAGTTGTGTTTCATTTCATCCACAGATGTTTGAGTAATCCTTTATTATGAGTCTGTCTACATCATCAAAGCTCAAAATGCTCTGTTCCACCTTGTGATGTCATGAAGCAGTAGTTTTCAAGTTTTATCTTTTTGTTCAATAAAGATTGAACATGTTTTTTGTTTAGTTTTTTTCTCGAAATGTTTTGCTCCTTTACCTCGTCCCTTATCTAGAGGAGTGGAGCTGTTGTGCATGTTTTGAGTTGATGGAGGAAACCCATCCAGACACAGGGAGAACATGCAAACTCCTCACAGAAAGATCACACTCTGAACCTTCTTGCCGTGGGGAGGGCGTGTGGTTTGAGTGTTATTGAGTGTTGTTTGTGGTGCATTCTGGGCTTTGTGAAATGGGACTGTTCTTCTGTGACGTTTGCTGTGCTCCGCTGCTGTTCTGGTACAAATGTGTGTTCACTCAAAACTATTGATCTGTAATGCAGAGAGGACAGAGAGGACCGAGAGGACAGGGACACACACGGAACAGTTCACAGAATGAGCTCAGAGTTGGTGCAGAGTCTGAGGAGAACAAGAGGAAAACTGTTGGACTGAAAAAAGAACCTAATAACATAAAATATCAAGATCAAATGAACCTGATTGGACTAAGAGGAAATCGTGTTTATTGGCTGGATTTCAAACTTCCTCTCACGCTTTGACAACACAACCAAAGAAGGTACATAGACAATATTTTTAACCAAATATTTCACAATCAGTCCCAATTTTTGGAGCTTGGAGCTGTTGTTTCTTTATCAAAACCACAACCACAATTCTGTGTTGTTTAACTCATTAGTGGATTACTCTGATCATGTCACTGCTCAAATGGCCTTCACTGTGCAGCTAAAGAGCAAACAGTGCAATGTTTTAGCATTATTTTAACTGCTTCACTTCACAATGTGCTAGTTCTCTAGCTGAGTTTAAGTTTTAGTCCTAATTTTGTTCCCGGTTTAGTCCCTGGTTTAGTCCCTGTTTTGGTCCCTGGGTTTGGTCTCTGGTTTAGTTTGGTTTATTTAGAATTTATTATTACTAGGATTAGAGCCCGACCGATATATCGGTTGGTCAATATTATCGGCCGATATAGGCGCCCGGAGACATATCGGCTATTGGCCGATATACTTGCTGATAGGGGCCGATATTTCACATGGGCATGTTATACCTCATTATAAAGCTTAGACTCTCTACATTCTCTTCATTTAATCCAATTTACAGACAGATAAATGTCCTAATATGTGACTCCACATCAGTATTTATCTGCGAACTCATTTGTCTGTGTGTGTGTCCGTACTGTCCCTGAACACACCACAGAGTGACGTCACTCACGTGTGTTTATTTACAGCCGCAGACATAGATCCATGTGAAACACTGAGATTATATTCTTTTTAGGACAATCGGTTTGAGTCTGGATTAAAAAGACATTTATTATTTCAGACTTGTGATGTGGGAGGAGCCTGTATGAGCGGTGAGTGTTGGAAATACATCGACTTTGAAGCTAGTTTTGGCTATTTGTTATTAGCGATTAGCTGCTGTAGCTCCCGCACATAAACAGGCTGTTTTCTATTGGCCTGTTGTAAAGTGACTACATTGGCCGTATATTTGTTACTGGAGCTGCATTGATATGTAAATGAGCTGTGAATAGACGTGTGAATTATGACATTTGCGCATATAATTAATTACCGCGGCGCGCACGGCTAAAGGCTAATAGCGCTAGTTTATTTACTATTTAGGAGTTATGGGTCGGTCGCGAACGAAGCGACTCTTAGATCCGGCTCTTTGAAGTGAACAACGGGAGCCTGATCCTTATTGGGAGCCGCGTTTTCTCTTTCACTTTTTTTCTCTTCACGCCGTGTGCAGACTTGAGGGAGTTTGACAGCGGCAGCGGCTAAAAACGAAACTTTCAGAAATCTGCGTGTGCATAGAAGAGAAAAATGTGCATGTTTGGCTGCAGTTCAGCATAAATTAAATAAACCAGGAGTAATCTTGGGCTCGAGAGAGAGAGATAGAAACTGAGTCCCGTCACTCAGTCCTGGTTCAGTCCTGGTTTAGTCCTGGTTTACACATGGTTTAGATTTGTTTAGTCCTGGTTTAGTCCTTTTTCAGTCCTGGTTTAGACCAGGTTCAGTTCTGGTTTAGTCCTGCTTGCAACAAAACAATCTGAAGAGCCGCTTGGGAGCCGAAAGAGCCAGGAACTTTTAGTGAGCCGAGCCAAAAGAGCCGGTTCTCTAAAAAGAACTGGAATACCCATCACTAGTGTGTAAAATGTGATGCAAAAATGCCATTAGTCCGACCTACTGTCTGTAAATATGATGGAAAGAGGCAGACTAACAATAAATGTTGCCTAAATAAACCCAATTTAGAATCCACAAGAGCCAAACCTAAGTTTTTTTAAACAATCCAAGATTTACAGTGAATGTTTACATTACTAAATATATCGGTGATTATATCGGCTATCGGCAGCTCCAACTCCCATTATATTGGTTTCATATCAGCCACAGCAAAATCCATATCGGTCAGGCCCTAGTAGAGATGGTACAAGATCTCGTGAGACAAACTGCCCAAAGATTGTGCACACAACAGAAAAATGATCTCATGAGGTTTTTTTCATGTGTTTACATTTGGATTGGATAAAAAGGGTGACATGTTGGTGAGCTCCATGTCTTACAGTTCCAAACTGCAGAATTAGAATCGAAACAAAACTATGAAATCAAAAAAATACGAAAATTGTGAGGCTAAAATTGGAAATTGAACTGTCAAATGCAAATATTGAACCCAATCTCGTCTTGTTGAAATTTCATCTCATCCCATCCCTAATTATTACCACTTATATTTTTACTCTTTGTTTTGCTTACTTTTTATTCTATTATATTGTGATGTGTGAGTTACTGTGGCCGAGTCATTTCCCGTGTGGATCAATAAAGTGTGTGTAATGTCAAAGTCTCTGTTTAGTCCCAGGTCTGGCTCATGAACTGGTTCATTGGGGTCAGAAAATCTCAATCTACAGCAGAGTTCATAACGATGAGATATTAAAGGACCAGTGACTTTTCAAATGGTGGAGAGGGAGCTGCATAAAATAAAAGTCTGGTTTGATATTAATAAATTGTCGCTAAGCATAGAAAAAACTAAATTTATGATATTTGCGAAACGAAAAGTACAAAATCATGTACAAACTATGCTCAATAATACATCACTAGAAAGAGTTTAGAAATAAATTATCCAAAGTGATCGCAATTATATACAAATACAGATATATCCTAGATAAAAACAGTCTTTTTATTATATATAACTCACTGGTAATGCCCGACATAATCTACAGTATTGAGATTTGAGGCAATACATACAAGTCTAATGCAAATCCAGTCTTTACCTGCAAAAAAAGGCAATAAGAGCATCACATTATCAACTTATAACGAACCAACCAATGTGTTATTTATAAACCTTTAAACGCTGAAATTTTATGATTTAGTCGACCTTTATACTCTGAAAATCATGTTCAAAGTAAACAACAATCTCCTGTCAAAATCTTTACAGAACATGTTCAAAATCCAAAAAAGCCAATATGAGCTCAGAGGCACAGCCATGTTTATTAAAAGAAAATTAGAACAAACATTATGAAATTGTGTAAATCTGTTAAAGGGCTGGAGCTGTGGAACAACTGTACAGAAAACCTCAAATTGTGCACCACTTTCTTTCACTTCATAAAGAAGTTTAAATATTTAACTCTGGACAGATATATGAATTATAAGACTTAGTTTGTGCTGTAGTATATGTATTTTAGGTTTGCAGTTATTACAAAATTCAGCAGCACGTGTCCTGACGAGGACCAGAGGGCAGGACCACATTACACCGGTTTTAAAATCACTGCATTGGCTCCCTGTGAGTTTCAGGATTGATTTTAAAGTTCTTTTACTGGTTTTTAAATGTCTTAATGGTCTTGGGCCTTATTATCTTTCAGAACTGCTTTTACCCTACGAGCCCTCGTGGACCCTGCGCTCCTCCGGCAGCAGCTCCTGCTCATTCCCAAAGTCAGGACACACACTCACGGAGAGGCGTCTTTTCAGCACTATGGCCCCCGTTTATGGAACTGCAGCCGGAGGAGCTCAGGGCCAAAGAGAACATTCATGTTTTTAAGAGCAGGCTCAAGACCCACCTTTTTAGCTTAGCTTTTGAATGAAATCTTATACTTTTACTTGTTTTTATTGTACACATTCTATTATATTTATTTATTTTAGGCATATTTTTTTAGGATTTCCAGTGTTTCCTCTGTAGGAGCCTCTGCATCAGGAGTGGAGGTCAGCTGTGGCTGCTGGGTCTGTCATGTGGGCTCCTGGTGGAGGGATGGTGCTTGGGCCTCAGGTGCCTGGGCTTCATCTCTCCCCTGGCCCCTGTGGTAGTCCCTGGTGGTGGTGGACGTCTCTCTGCTCCTGGTGTAGAAGCTCCTCTGATGATGCTTTCTCAACTGGTTCGCCTGTATTCAGCCTCACATTTTACTATGTCCAGTTATGTATTTTAGCAGGTTAGTGTGTGTGTGTGTGTGTGTGTGTATTTGGGTTGTTTGATTGTGTGGGGTTGGGGGTGTGGGTATTGGGTTGGTGGGTGGGTGGGTGGTTGGAAATGCGGGACTGTTTTTAATCACTGTAAAGCACTTTGTGTTGCATTTTGTATGAAAACTGCTTTATAAATAAAGATTGATTGATTGATAGTACTTTGTTATACTGTCTTTGATTTGTTTGTTTCCTCTTGCTGTATTTATGAAGATGAACTGGTGTTAAGATGACGCTCTGATAAAGGAATAAAGGGTAAAGGCAGAATAAACTTAAACTTCAGCCGACACCCTTTCGCTCTGTGTATGTTAAATATGACTGACTGTGAATTAATGTCAAAATATACTTGTGACCGAAATAAATAAATAAATAAACTTATAAAGTATATTCCTCATTTTGTCTCCACAGACTGACTAAAGCAGACCTTCCCTTCCTAAGATGGAGTCCGTGGCTCCGTTCTCCCGCCAGCAGTGGGCCTCTCAGTCTCTCCGTGTCACCGCCAAAGAACTGTCCATCGTCCGGGGAAAGAACAGCTCCATCGCCGAACGCTTCAACAAGTAACACAACCGTTTCACAATATGAATAGAAATACTACTCTGACTTTAGATATCACAATTACAAAGAGGGTATTTTGTATTTTGTATTGTCAATAAAACTAAATCTGTATTCTAGGTAAATGATATGGAAAAAAAAATAAAAAAAACAGGCTCAAATTTGTTCATTCATTCATTTGTTTTGCAGCCCTGACCCTACAGATCACACATTAAAACAATCCCACAGTATAATTCAAATTTTAAAAGACAACTATTCTGCAAAATCGACTTTGTAGAGCAGGGGTCTCTAACTTTTAGCTCGGGAGTGACCAGTATCTCTCCACTTCCTTCCATGTAGCTCACCAAGGGATTTCTGAATCATGCATATTGCACTAAATAATTCAAATATGATTGATTAAATGCTTATTTTATTTGTAAATGTATAATTCTGATGCCTGATTTTGTGCACTGATAACTGGATAATGGTTTATGTTTTATAGACGTCTAACTGTACCTCACCACGGTTCTTATATTTACAACATTTTGGAGATATTTTGGATATTTACAAAAGGTTGGAGACTCCTGTTTTAGAGTTTTGTAGCTTTTAGTCATGTTATATCTGTTCCTCCTTCTCATTAAAACTGTATGTGGAGTGACTCATGCATGTTTGAATCATCTTCATCACTTTATTCAAGACGCCACATTGCAGATCAGGCAGTGTGTTCATCACCACAAATGTTCGCCCACTGCTCTTCCATAACCCACTCTGTTCTTGATCATGTTTCCAGTGACGTCAGCTCCCACTTGGCACCATGTCTTTTTAAAGCTGGAGTCTGTGGATTATTTTTTTAATTAGTTTTAGATGACTATAGTGATTTCAAATGTTTAAAAATAACATCTTGATCCACTGGTGTTGTACATTAGAACTGTGTAACAGGCTCCAGCACAATATGTGATCTTTTTTTTTTTTTTTTTTTTTTTTTTTAAAGGTGCTTTACTAGATTTTTATTTGTCAAATAACAGTTTCTGTGAACAACACGGTTACTTGGTATGGAAATGCTGTTTTAAAAGTGTTCCCTCTTCGTTAGCTTACTCAGAGGAGTATTTAAATTTATTCATGTTTGAGTAACCCTGTATTGTAAAGCAATAAAAGATAAAGCTATAAAATTACCATGGAGAAAAGGCAGACAACAGAAAAGTAACATGGTGTATAGCCTACCTTTGAAACAGTATACCGAAAGTCTACATCTTACATAAAATCAAAATAAAATAGGATTCAGTGCACAGAAAATATCTGTTTTCAGCTACCCCATATCCCCACCCACTCACGTGTATCTGTGATACTTTGAAAAAAACAAAAACAAAAACAAAAAAAAACACTCTGGTCACAGAGAAATGTTGAAAAATGCAGTCTATCCAGTTTGAATAAACACGTGCAATGTGCAGTGTTTTTTTTTTTTTTTTTAATATAATTTGTCAAGTTTGAGGGATTAGATACCCAGCACATCCACAACAAGACAGACATAACTAAATATAAAAATAACACGTATATAAAGGAAAGGAAAAAAACAAAAAACAAATAACAATATGTGATCTTTAACAACAGTGTAAGAGCTATATAGAATATATATATATATATATATATATATATATATATATGTGTGTATATATGTGTATGTATGTATATATATATATATATATATATATGTAGAATACAGAAAAGTCATGATAAGATTTGCTCAACTACAAATACATGAGGAGTGCTCCTGTAGTGTTTCACTGAGATGGGAACAGGTCGATTTTTTTAATTATTATTTTTTTTATGAAAGACAATAGAATATAACATTAACAAAATGTAATCATGAACATGAAAATGAGACACAAAATCATAAAACAATACCTACAAGATACATAAGAGCAGGTCAGATGTTTTTGTTTACCTGCAGATGTTTTTAAGAAATCATTAAAAGTCATAATTAAAAATGGTGCCTCTGCAATCCAGCCTTAGATAAAGTGGAAGAAAATGGATGGATGGAAGTAAAAATCGTAATTCATTTCTGCTGAAACAAATATTAAATGTATTAAACAGTCTGGGGCGTGTTGAAATGGACTGTCTAAGCTTTTTTTTAAAAACATACTAACTAAAAAAATATTAGATTAAATGTTCATGTTGTGTACAAATCCATGTTTACAGTGGATGGTCTCGTCCTTGTACTTGTCACTTCCGTCCACTGGGGGGAGCTGTGTGGAGTTGTAGTTTTTGGTTTGGTCCAACTCAGTAAATGAGGGAACAAACAAAAGAGACTATAGGCCTATTCACTCTTACTGGAAGACGTTTGAAACATGCGGATGACGACCGTCGGTGTATTTCCTGACACTGGGCATGTGATAAAACCACAGCAGCAGCGTCTTCACAACCTGCTAAAACTTTCCATGGAGGACGGGACTCTGATCGTGTCTTCATGTCACTCACAGACATCTGTTTGATCTGCCGAACACAACGGAATGCTACAGTGGAATAGTTTATTGATTTGTTTATTTTTTTATTGAATTAGACAAATTATAATACACAAATTTAATAGACAATTTATAAAAGGAAAAAAGAATACAGTGATATTTAGATCATTAGGTTTTTCCAGATTTCCTGCCAACAGAGCCGGAAGTCATCACCCGCATGTTTCCAAACGTCTTCTGGTTTTGTGATGTAAATGTGAATAGAGCCTATTCAATAAATGAGGGAACACATAAAAGATGAAGAGCCTATTGTGATCGAATTCCTCCTCACGTTTCTAGAAATCTGCAAATTAAATTCCCTTTTGATTTTGTGGAATATTTCTTTCTCTGTGGAATATTTTGATGATCCATTTCCTGAGTGTCCAAATCAATTTCAATTTACACTGTACAATATATTACTCAAGTAATAGTACTAATACAATTTTTAAATAAAATTGTTTATTTATTTTTTTAAAAATATTTTATTTTATATTTGTATTTGTTTTTTTAATTTTATTTAAATGTGTTTTTTTTTTTTTTTTTTTGGCTGTTCATTTAATATGTGCGTCTTTTTTGTCCTTCAGGTATCAGATGGCAGCAGAGGGCAATGCCGAGAAGAAGACAGCGGTAAGATGCATACATGCTCTACCTGAATATTCATGTCTTAAAAACGTTTTTAAAAAAAACACACACACAACAGACGTTAATTTGTAACGGTTTGCAGTGGTCCGGAGTTCTTCCTCACTTACCTTATCCTAATTATCCACCATGATGAGTTTATGAGCTTATTTCACAACTTTTAGAGCAATGATTGGCATGCTTACAGTGCACTTCCTTATTCTCGGACAATAAAATGCTTTCTAATGACCTGCAGACAGTACACATTAGACTTATTGTGAACACACAGTATTCGTGTTTGTGTACTGGGGCGAGACACATTTTCCTCGTGTCCGTGGGGAAAAGTGTGGTCCAGGTCTTTGACTGAACAGATGAACAGATGAAGGATGAAGCTGACGTCTGCTTCTGTTTGTAAACTCTTCAACTGCCTCCACACTCATTCATAGTAAATCAGCCCAGTGTCCTTCTCCTCTGCTGTAACCTGACTCCTGCGTCCTACCTGATCCGCGCTCATACACACAGACAGGAAGACGGATCAGGCGGGGGTCAGGAAGTTCACCTCTCTCTCTCTTATTGATTTAGTGTAATGGTTTCAGACTCGTTTCTGGAATTAATCATTGGTCAATAACGAATGAACGGTTTCAGCTCGGCTCTTGAGGCTTTTAATATGAGAGGCTCTTGTTTACAAAAATACAAAACTGCAGCTGGAATTCATATGTGAAACTTTTTCATCTTTTAAAAATGGATGATCTGTGTATCAAAGGAAAGATTTCTGTGATGTCTCCCCAAACAACTCCCCGTGTGTGTCAGATGCCCTCCCCCTGTGTGTGTGTCAGATGCCCTCCCCCTGTGTGTGTGTCAGATGCCCTCCTTGTGTGTGTGTTTTTTAGATTCTCTAGATTAGAAGTCTGCATTTGGTTCCATATCTGATTCCAAATTTAATCAAATGAATGAATATTTCGAGTTGCTCAAGACACTTGAAAATGTCTCTATAGACCCTAAACTATAACACAGAACCAAATAAATAAGGCCTATTCCAAACATTTGTCATTTTATTCTGCAAACACAAACTGAAACTTGCATAAAAATTTGAACTTTAGAAATTAGAACTAGTCCATATAAGTTTCTTCTAAAGTCCAGCTCCTCTTGTGTGTTTGTTGGCGTCACTAAAGCTGCTCCTGTGTGTGTGACTCCTGCAGTAGATCTTGTTTCTGATCTTCAGTCTTTGTTCTACTGTTCAAATCTTGAAGAAACTTCAGCTCCTTCATTAACACTTTCCTGATGCACAGTTTGAGCAGCTTCTGAAAGTCTCATCATCAGCCCAGTCTGCTGCAGGAACTGTTCTAAATGTTTCTGGCAGATCAAGAGAAGAAGAAGAAACACATCAAATTCACAGATCTGCTTCTCTTCATAATCTGTTTGATTAAGAGCTTTGTCACGTTGTTTTGGTGGAACCTCTGAACTTTTCTTTTCCATAATATTGTGAACCATCATCATTTTCTGTTCTTCTGTCACACTGGAGTGAAGAATGCCAAAGGCTGCGTTCAGACTGCAGCCTGAAGTGACCCAAATCCGATTTTTTGGCTTCTATGTGATCTGTATCTGATCTTTTAATGACAGTCTGAACAACACAGATCCGATTTTTTTCAAATGCAACACAGGACACTTGGATATGTGCTCCTAAAACTGATACATATCTGATCTTTTGACATGTGACTTCAGTGTGAACGGCCAAAGTGCATTCATCCACCTACACGTTATCAACAAGACACAAACGTCACTATTCTGCACTGAAGTAGGTGAAAATTGTTAATGAACTCCGTGTCACTGAAGTGAAGCACATCTCCACTCACCACTCTTGGCTCCGTCTCCACATCCACACGTTCCTTTCAACGTTCTGTCCCACAAAACACCACGACCAAAAACCTCGTCCTTCTCCTTCTCAATCTCCTCCTTAAAACAAGTAAGTTGTTCATGTTCTGGCTCCGTTACGAGAGGAACTTTAAAATCTCCAGGTGCTCGATGCTGCGTCCATGTTTGGACACTTCTGTAAACACAGAGACGCTCACTGCGGTTGATGTTGTCGTGTCTCCAGTGCACATATGGGACACTTTTGGGCCGTTTAATGTTCACGCTGGAGTCACATACAAGTCCCATTTAACTGGAAATGTGAACGACCTCGAAAAAACATCGGATTTCACAAAAAAAATCTGAATTGAGCGTTAAGCCCTGCAGTCTGAACGTAGCTAAAGATGTCACCCAAAACTGTTCAGGTGTTTTCTTCACAACTGAATGTTCAGAATGTGAAGCTTAAGGAAAACCAAATCATCTGCAGGAGCTTCAAAACTTCATGCAGAAACTTCATGCAGCGAAGAGCAACCTCTAAAACATCTCCTTTTTCTTCTACATTTTCTTTCTAAATCATCTTTTGGTGTTAAAACTAGGGATGGGCATGATTAGTCGATTAATCGATAATTGATCATTAAGAATTTCATCGATTACGTTAATTTTAATCGACAAACTGAATGTAGGTCGCTGTGTGTAGCGTGACCAAACAGGTGTGTACATGTGTCTCTGCATCAGAAGGAGCGAGACACAAACAGTGGGTCAGTCTGCAGTGAACCGAAGCACAAATGTGGATTTAACCAGGATTTGTACAAGAAATTTCAGGCTTTCCGTTGTGTTCAGGACAAGTGTGAGTCCATGTGCACAGTGTATAAAGCAGCACATATGTTTCTGTGTCCAGTGGGAAAAAGTTTTGCCAGGTGAGAGTCGCGCAATGTGGATGACGAGGCCCCGCCCCCCTCCCCCCGTAAGCTGTCCTGGTTTTGACAAACACAAATCTGGTCACACTAACCTGTATTCACCTGAGTCATGTCTTTTAATCCAACACAAGTTGAACCACATCAGCCACACAAGAGCTGGAGTTTTATCTTCACTTAGTTTATGTAAATTAGTGATGTGGTTTTAAGTTTTGTTTCTGTGAGATTTGAACAAAACTGAATTAAACACATAATGTCAAACAGCTGATGTGGATCTAGAGTCGATACAGTTTATTTGTCGTAAAGTTGAATTTATTTATGCAGATTAGTGCAGATAGTAATAATAATGATGATCATTTTAATATAAAAACGTTAATGATTCATCGATAATCGATCGTTAATTCTTCCGACGATCGTTTAAGAAAATTTGATTGAATGCCCGTCCCTAGTTAAAACCTCATGCAGGTTCTCATCGAGGAGATCTGAAACTTGATTTTTGACCTCACTTTGATGGACCTAACCCTAAGCTCCTATTCTGAGTAAAAGCTGCAAACCCTGTAGTTTAGGCTTCACTGTGTTTCCCTTTAATGCCGTACTGTGGGACATTCTCCCTGGAGAAAAGTTCCGCAGTGCAGCTTTACTGTAGTCATGACAAAAGCCTCAGTCTGATGGTTCTGAGTTTGACCCTGCCGTCGCTCGCCCCCTGCACCTCATTTCCTGGACTTATTTTCTCTTTCTCTCCTTTTCTCCGACCCTCTCCCTCTTTCTCTCCCTCTTTCCAGCTCTGGTTCTGATTTTCTGCCCTCTCCACCCCTCCACCCTCGCTCCACCTCTCCACCTCTTCACTCTCTCTCTAACACTCCCCCTCTCCAGGAACTAATAGTAGGTGAACACTTCTTTCCTCCTCTCCTCTATTTTTTTCTTTTACCTCTCTCCTGCCTCTTTTTCTCTCTGTTTCTTCTTTCTTTCTCTTTTAACTTCATGCGCACCCCTCCTTTCTCTCTCTCCTTCCTCTCCTCTCTTCCTGTGCAGTAGTAGGTAGACAGTTCTTTCTTCCTATGCCCCCTCCCCTCCTTCCTTCCTTCCTTCCTTTCGTCATCCATTCTCTCTCTTTCACCCCCCTTCCTCTCCCTGTAGTAGATGGGGCAGTTTTTTCTCTCGCTTCCTCTCGTTCTCGCTTTAGGGGCCGGGCAGCTCCTCCTCCGCTCACATCTGGACCCCCCTCCTCTCTCTCTTTCTCTCTCTTTCACTCTCTCCTTCTTCTCTCATAAGACCCTCTCCGCAAAGCCCGGCTCCTCCGCTCGTCCAGACCCTCCTCCCAAGGTTTTACACTTTTTAATCTTTTCCTTCTTTCAAACGCACGTCTCTTCCAATGCGCTTGTTGTGATGTTCTGCCCGCATACCGCACGGTTTCCTGTTCTCACCTCCGGCTCCCTCTTCCTCTCTGCTCTTCTGCACGACTTCTACTTCTCTCACTTTTGAACCAGGACTGCACAAAATATCTGAAAATGTATCGGAAATTCTTTTATTGACCGGGGATGGGCTAGTCTTTCTCTGCCAGTGGGAGAGTAACAAAGTCAAAGTAGTAAAGTTCTCTGTGTTTCAGTAAAAATGTGGGTATCTGTTCAATTTAAAGTTTACTTCCTTACTACATGTCAGAGCAGATATTTGTATTTTCTACTCCACTACATTTTTGAACAGGAAGTATTTTTTTTTAAGATTGCTGCTGCTGGAAAGTCTGTGGGTTTATTTTTAACATATTCTCATTTGAGCAAAGAAAAATAAAACCACAAATAAACCAAAATGTAAAACCTGCTTGAACCAAAAGGTCCGTTCAGTTTCTGTCATTTAAATTCAGCTCAAATCTGTATCCGAATCTCTACATGTGAAGCTTCATTGGATCTGAAAATCTGTGTGAAATACTTTGACTTTTGTCTCTTTAAGTACATTTTTAAACGGGTACTTTAAAACTTTTGCTTGATTGGATTTTTTTTTGCGCTGGTGTCTGTACGTTAACTGAAGTAACAGAGCAGTCGAGCGTTGGTCAGTGGTGACAAAAGTAGAGCTGTCAAATTATCGCGTTAATTGCAATGAATTAATTACAGTCATATTTAGCGTGTTATGTTTTGTAATCGCCTTATTATAAAATCTGTTTTTATGTGTTGTTGGGACACACTGTGCAGTCCTGCTCCGCTCGCTCCCGCAAAAAATTGTAATTTTTATTCCCGTTCTCACCGCATCAGTGATAAACCTGCACACGTCTGATCTCTGAAAACATCACGACAGACACAGAACAGACTCACCTTCAGCATCAACATCCCTCTGTCACAGAGAGAACATCTATATTCCACTGAGTCGTGTCCTTTAGTCCGACAGAAGCTGAACCACATCAGCGACACAAGAGCGTTTTTTTTCTCCACTTTGTTTATGCAAATGAGTCATGTGGTTTTAAGTTTAGTTTCTGTGAGACTTGCACAAATCTGTATTAAACACATGATAATGTCAAACGGGCTGATGTGGCTCTAGAGCACAGGTGTCAAACATACGGCCCAGGGGCCAGATCCGGCCCTCCAAGACCTTTAATCTGGACCTCCGCTGATTTTCTACTAAAATATTTGAATAATATTTTCTATTAAAATCTTGTTAATTTTCTGTGGTGTTTATCACAGCAGCGTCTCCAGTGTCTCTGTACGTGGCCCCTCCCACCAGAGCAGCACAAATGAAGACTTGTCTCTTTCCAAACGCTCTTAAAGGACGATCGTTTTGACTGTTGACCGTGACACCCTCATCAGAAAAATGTCCAACATGAGAAAAGTGGAGCCGAGTGCAGGATTTTACAACAAAAATGGACTTATTCCTATTTGCAAACAAGTTCATGTTAAAACTTTGTGTTGAAATTGTATTTTTCTTAAAGTTTCAGGTTGTTCATGATATTATAATATTTTGTAAAAGAAAGAGTTCATCAGTTAAAAAAGATTTCTGTAATAGATTTGTGTTTCTCTGCACAAATATTTGAAGTTATTTTTGGGGTTTATATGACATGAGTTTTCTGATCCGGCCCCTTTAGGATCAAAGTTGGTTGGATACGGCCCCCGGACCAAAATGAGTTTGACACCTCTGCTCTAGAGTGTTTATGGTTTATATGTTGTAAAGTTGAGTTTATTTATGCAGATTAGTAACAGTAATAATAGTGATGATACTTATATAAAAACGTAGTATAGTATGAAAATAATGTAATAATGAATTTAAATGAAAATACCTTAAATTGAAGCTTTTCTCAGCAATTTTTAGGTGAGATAAAAAGATTAATTTGATTAATTAATTACAGATCATAATCAATTAATCTTTCAATTTTTTTAATCACTTGACAGCACTAGACAGAAGTACTGTGAGGTAAACAGGGCAGACTGGATTCTTAATGGAATGATTCAGTTTAAAGTTCACATTTGAGGCCAGTTAAGGATTGTTAATATTTGAGAGAAAACTGAAATCTGAACTTCTGAACTAATACAGGAATCCCACGCATTTCAGAACATGTTTGAAGAGGTCTGAAGGCGAGAGGAGGGGCAGAGGAGCCAAAAATGTACTCGAGTAAGAGTACTGTTACTTCAAAATCATATTACTGAAGTAGAAGTACAATGGAGATGATTTAAAAGTTAAAAAAATAATTGTTGGGAAGGACAAAACGTTAACACCACATTTTGTGCTTTATTTTCAAAGGACAGACACAAAAATGAGTCTAACTAAATCCTCAGAAGGAGCTGCAACAAACACAAATGTTCAGATCATTTCATAATGTCACGGTAAAACTTTTGTCACTTTAGACTCACAGCAGGAAGAGGAAGTACTACTTTTACTCAAGAGTACTGTTGCACTGTATATACATTACTCAAGAGTACTGTTACTTGAGTAATAGATTGTACAGTGTAAATATAAAAGTTTGGGGTCTGAACTACTCATTTACTCATTCAACTTTTTAAATATGGCACTTTTCTGAGTGCTACCACTTCTGATTTAGGATACACAGGGTTTATGCAGAATAAAACTATAATGTTGGTTGTTTACAGAGGAAAATTTAAATCATTTCAAATAATTTCAGTGTATTTGTGTTTTGCCAGTTGTGCCCGTACAGATTTGAGATTTTCTTGTGTTTCAGTCAGCCTTTTGACCCGTTTGGATCTTTTGCTGCATACATCATGTTATAGTTTAAAGGTTTTTCACTTTACAAATGTGTATGAAATTTAAATGAACGTGGAAATGTACTGTGGACTTGTGTACACACTGACCGGGACTAAACCGGGACTAAACCGGGACTAAACCGGGACTAAACCGGGACTAAACCGGGACTAAACCGGGACTAGAACGGGACTAGAACGGGACTAAACCGGGGCTAGAACGGGACTAAACCAGGACTAAACCAGGAGTGAACCGGGACTAAACCAGGACTAAACCAGGACTAAACCAGGACTAAACCAGGAGTGAACCGGGACTAAACCAGGACTAAACCAGGACTAAACCAGGACTAAACCAGGACTAAACCAGGACTAAACCAGGACTAAACCAGGAGTGAACCGGGACTAGAACAGGACTAAACCAGAACTACATCAGGACTAAACAAAGATTAAACCAAGTCAAAGAAGTATCCAAATGTTGAACTTTGTGCCTTTTAGATTACAGATTTGTTGACCTGGTTTATGGTTAATATCTCTGTAATCAAACGGCACATTCCACTTGTGGACCTGTTCTCCAGATCTGTTTAAAGGAAACCTGATGTGAACCCAACACACTGACAAAAGTTTTACATCCAGCGTAAAGTAAATGTCCCTTTTTTTTTTTTTCTCCACAGACTGAAAAACCTCTGACTCTGAGCTCGGGGAATCTGAGCGCTTTGAAAAAACGTTGGGAAGAACCAGAGCAGAGCCAGGACCCTGCTCAGCCCTCCACCCCGGAAAAGCCTCTCCTCCAGCGGCCGCTCCTCCATCACTCTGCCCCTAAAGCTCCAGCGCCCAGGACCTGCGTGGAGGACACCACAGACACACTCCCACCCAGAGAGCAGAGCCAGGGAGACATGGACCCAGCCGAGGGAGCACCCAAGGGAGCATCAGAGCCCGTACCAGAGGAAGAGAGGCCCAGTGTCCCACTCACCAGCCTCAAGAAGATGTTTGAGCAGGTAAGAATGCAACTACGAGTGAAGCCATCACCCTCAACAATTCTGCAAAAATCCCCAACTGTGTTTCATATTTTAAAACTATCTCGAGTTCACAGTGCACATTTGAAACTATCCACAAGTAGAAATATTGAAAGATGAACTGATGAACAAAAAGCAGACATACTTTAACTTATCTGATCAGAAGAAAACTCTTTAGTTTGTGACAAACACGCAGAGGAAAACTCTTTGTGCATTTGTGGAGGAGAAATGTCTCTGATTTTCTCTCAACCTCAAATGATTTAAGGAAAGTTAGATTGATTTATTATTATTTTTTGGCTTGTTGAACATCCAGAACTCAGAACTAGGAGTTACACACATCAATCTGGTTTGAGACAAATTAAAAAAATATAAAAAATATATACTAAGAAATATTCAACACAAAATTGAAATACAAAAGTAGTTTCTTGAATATTTCCTTGTGAAGCAGATCAGTTGTCATTTCAGAACTATTCAAGAAGGATCCAATTTTGTCCAATTTGTGTGATTTTAAAAGGTAATAAATACATTTAGGATTGAAGTATGTGAGTTTCAGTACTTCTGACAGCCCTAACATGTTGCCAAAGTGTGTCTCCTCCAGCTAAAGTCCTGGACATGTGTGTGTGTGTGGGCGCTCCTCACCTCCTGCAGGAGGAACACACACACTCATCTGATGGATTTCCCTGTGGGGAGATGTGTCTGTGCAGCACACCAGCTGAACCCTGAGAAAACTCTGTCAGTGTTTGACCTGAACTGTCTCCACATCAGTTTCTTTTCTGTTGACATGTAGAATGAGTTTGCTGTGGTCCTGGTTCTTCTGCCTTCAGACCATCAGGATGATTCACCATGATGAGTTTACAAACACTTTTCACAAGTCTCAGGGAGACTGTACAAACTGTTGTGCAGTGGCATCACTCTGGGGATGTTCTACATGTATGTCTATGGCAGAATGTTGAGTAGTTACCATGGTGGCATGATGCACACATTAGCAGACAGTGTGGAGTGTTGACTCCTGCGGTGTTGTCTGGTCTGGGTCATGTGCTCTGTGCTTCTTCTCAGCTGATGCTCCTCATCTTTTTTTTGTGATGGTGAAAAGTTCAGTCATGCTTTTGCCCGAGGCCTGTCCTCCAGTGTGTCGATGTAAAGAGCCACAGACGAGGTGTGACCATGTGAACAAAGCCAACAGTGTGTGAGAGGTTTGTTCTGCACAGAGAGTGCATTTATAGTAGAGCGCAGATAAACAGTGTAGAGCTTTAAAGAGATAAAGACACAAAGACATGTTCTCCACATACAAGAGCAGCGAGTCCCTCTGAAACACTGCTGTGGATCAACCATCACAGAACTGCTCATAGATCAGTTACAGACTCGGCCTCCACTGGACCAGGAAACTAAATAAAAACTACTTTCACTATTGATTTCTACAATAAATTTGGACAATACAGATCAGTTTTGGTCAGTGCTGTTTCTAATAAAAATGGCCAAATTTCTGACCTGATCTAAAACTTGGCCTAATGACGTCACCTGCTGATCTCCATGGAGATGGAGCGCTTAAATGCCGTACTGCGAGGCATTCTGGGGAAAGCAATAACCTCTGCATGAAGACGAGAAGGCGGCAGAGCCTCCAGCAGAGAGGGTCTTGTCTTATGTCTGTCTGGACAAAAGGAAACTTGTTTTCTAAACGTTTCACTTGTTTTAACTTCCCAAACTTAAAATCCCAAAGCTGCAGTGTTCAGCTGAAGTTTACAGAGCCTGAAGAATCAGAACATCACTAAGAATATGGAACAAAATGGCTGATTATCTGTGCGTCTTTGTTTGTGACGATGGATTTTCACAAGTGCTTTTTGACTTTAGTTCCACTTAACATGATTTAAACCTGATGAACAGAAATATGTCGACCACAAGAGACAAAACCGAGAGTCTGAGTCTGAGCTCAGATCACCACAGTCACAAGAGTCTGTTTAAAGACCAGTTTTACAGTGACAGGGTCTGAAGTAAAACCACCACATGCTGTGATTTAAATGAGACGTTTCAGAAGCTTCACCTTGTCTCATGAATAGATGTTCAGATCAAATCTAGTTTTAATGAGAAGGTAGGTTTATTTAAAATTACAGAAACATTGTGACATGTTTTTGTTGTCCAGACACAAAGTGGAGTGAGCCTGACATTTGTCTAAAGTCTAAAATGTGACAGATGTGTAAATTGTGACATGAGTGGATGATACAGGAAGTGCGTCGTCCTGATATTGGTCTGTCTCTCAGCAGTTTGGGGAAGTGCTTGAGCTGTAACATCATGTGTACAGTCCGACCTCTCAGGCCTGTACAAAGAGCCAGTGTGCAGAGCGAGCCTCAGCCTGTGGCCTTTAACCTTTGACCTTTCACCTTGTGGTCCGTGTGCAGCTCAGATGATGTAATAGTCTGTGAGCTCCTGATGCAGACGACTCTTACTCTCTCATCTCACTTGTGTTCGTTGGGGTGATCTCCTTCATTTGACTGGAGAATTAGAGTGAGACTTTAAACAGCTTTGTCTTTCATTTCATTTCACTTTTATCATTTGTCTTTCGTGTTTTATAATCAGTCTGGAGCAGGACAGCTTGAATATGGTGAACATGATTTTTGGTGAAGCCGATTTTGAAGAAATGCTCAACTGAACTGGAATTCATTTCTATCCTTCTCCCTCATTTCTTTTTTTCCTCTCCCTCACTCTTGTCTCTCCATCACAGAACCCCAACAGACTGAACCCTCGTGCCCCCCTCCTGTCTGCGTCTTATCTAAACCCCTCACCTCTGTCTCCTCTGTCTCCTCCTCTGTCTCCTCCTCTGTCTCCTCCTCTGTCTCCTCTTCCTCCTCTGTCTCCTCCTCTGTCTCCTCCTCTGTCTCCTCCTCTGTCTCCTCCTCTCTGTCTCCTCCTCTCTTCTGTCTCCTCTTCTGTCTCCTCTTCTGTCTCCTCTTCTGTCTCCTCTTCTGTCTCCTCTTCTGTCTCCTCTTCTGTCTCCTCCTCTGTCTCCTCTTCTGTCTCCTCTCTGTCTCCTCTTCTGTCTCCTCTTCTGTCTCCTCTTCTGTCTCCTCTTCTGTCTCCTCTTCTGTCTTCTGTCTCCTCTTCTGTCTCCTCTTCTGTCTCCTCCGGCCGTTGTGATCTGGGACAAGATATGAGCTGACTCCACTACAGCTCCCATCACTCATTTCTCCTCCCCCCTACCTCCCTCTTTCTTTCTTTTCTTTCTCTTTCTCTCTTCCTTTCACCCTGTTTTCATTCATTTTCAAAACACATTTTTCCCCTCTCATGGACTACAGCGCGACTGAAAACTGGACTGGAACCTGGACTAGAACTAAAACTAGAACTGAAATTAGAACTGAGACTAGAACCTGGACTAGAAAGTTGGATGAAAGTTGGACAAAACCTGGACTAGAACCAGGGACTAAGACCTGGGACTGGGACTAGGAGCTGGGACTAAAAAGTGGGGACTAGAGCCGGGACTAGAACTGAAATTAGACCCGAGACTGGAACCGGGACTAGAACCGGGACTAGAAAGTTGGACAAAAGTGGGACTAAAAGTGGAACTAGAACCTAGAACCTAAACCTGAAAGTTGGACAAAACCAGGACTAGAACCGGGACTAGAAACAGCCACTAGGACCTGGGACTAGAACCTTGAACCTTGACCCTTGGGACTGAGACTAGAACCTTGAACCTTGAACTTTGGGACTGGGACTAGGACCTGGGACTAAAAAGTGGGCCGGGACTAGAGCCGGGACTAGAGCCGGGACTAGAGCCGGGACTAGAGCCGGGACTAGAGCCGGGACTAGAGCCGGGACTAGAGCCGGGACTGTTGTACAAAGTTTCTCTCTTCATGTCCCATGTTTATTTGTCCTCGTTTGTTTCGGGCTGTGGAGAAACGTCAGTTTTTCAGTCCAGTTCAAAAATGCAGTGGAGTAAAAAGTACAGATACCTGCTCTCAAATGTAGTGAAGTAAAAATAAAAACGTATCAACATTAAGTACAGTACAGATGACTTAAATACTTGAGTAGAGTACTTCCTAATTGAGATTGTGGTTCATAGTGTAACTTTTTCACATCTTTTCACTAATATTGTGATTAAATCTGAAGAGGATTTATTAAAGACACTAAAGGGACGTGAAATCAGTTGGTAACAAACATTAAATATAAAGCAACAGCAGATTTTGAGATTTTCTAGCCCCAGTTAGAATAAAAACCACTTCCTTGTCTCTTTTCATATGAGTTTGGTTCACATTAAACAACAGTGACTTCTGTATTAAGACTATTTCTCTTTCTGAACCATGACACAGATTTTGCCTCATCATCTTAGGTCCCTTTGGCCACGCCTCTTTTGGGACTTAAACCCCCAACCCCCCGATTCACCACCTGCTCCCCTCTAACCCCCCCCACTCCCTCTCTCTCCTTCTCTGTCCATCCCTCTCTCCATCCAGTGTTCAGTGTCTTTTTGTCTTCCGTTCTGCTCACATCATCACTCAAGGTACAGCTGCTTTTCTTCTACACATTTTGGTCGTTTGGTGTTTTCTCTCTTGAATTTCTTTGGTTATATTTTGGAAATAGTTTATGCATGTGTGGAAGTTTTTATCTAATGAGTGTGTGAGTGTTTCCTTGTTGGTGGAAAAGTCATTTACCGTTTAAGTGGGCTTGCATCTCCACAAACCTGGCTCTTCTTCAGTCTGAAGGAGACCCTCCTCCTGCCTGTTTCCATGGAAATATTGTCCTTCCTTGTGAACAGCAGAAGGTCCAAGGCTGTTTTTAAACGGGGCTAACCACAATAGCCGCTCAATGAATGAAATGAAAATGAGTCCAGTGAATGTGCGTGGACACTTAATGACATCACCATGTGGGACAGGCTGTTTGGAGCTTTGGAGAATCATTCAGAGTTGGTTGGAAACAGAAATCCCCAGATATATTTGTCAGGTGAACACAAGACGTTATGAATTATTTTTCAGTTGGAGAAGAGTTGATTTGAATCC